CGCCACCTTAGGTGTACGTGGCTGGCGCCTTAGCCGGTTGAGCTATAGGCACCGAGCCACTGTGTCTTTTTAATTACAGCCATCCTACTGGTTTTGGAAGCAATGATGTCTGCTACATCCCATTTTTGCAAATTATGAACGTGGGGACACTAGGCTAGGTTTGCTCTCACGGCAATTTTGTAAAGGACACACATGAGAAAGCCCTGAAACTTAAATTCTCTTACCTTCCTCTGGCACTGTAACCATGAAGGAGGTGGAGAGAAACTGAGCAGCCACATAGTTAGAAAGCAGGGTGCCCAGCAAAGATAGCTCTGTCATGTCAGTCTCTTGTGCAGCTAGGGAAAGAGCAATTCTAGGCAGAAGAAACAGTAATTGTGAAGACCCTAAGGCCAGGAAGACCCTGCCCTTCTGTGTCCTGAGCAACCAGTCTGGTAGGTGGCAGGTGCCCAAAAGGTGTTGGAATAAGTGTCTTCTTCCAAGACCATGTGTTCCTTGAAATTGTTGCTCCTATCACTGTGCAAGTGGAGGACAATGAAGAACTGAATTTGAGTTTGCCCTTCCCTAGCACAAACTCCAACACTGGAAGAAACTACCTTCTGTGAGGACGGTGGGGCTCGGAGGTTCAGTGCCTTTCTCCCCCAGCTGCCTGTGGCAGGTGAGAATGAAAGCAGAGGGGAAGCACGGTAGGGCAGGCAACCCAGGCCCGCGAGAGCTCCTCCATCCGGCCACACTTGAAACTACCACCTTCAAACTTCCGAGTTACACTGACCCATGTACCACTTTCTTTCCATGCAAGTCCGTTTAAGTTGGGTTTTTGTCACTTGGGACCGAGAGAGTCCTGGCTAATGCCCCGATCCTTCCCCCTCCGATGCCCAGGACGACCTAAAGCTAACCCTCGGGTCGCAGCCCGGACAAGAACAGGCCTTCCAGGAGGACCCCAGGCCACACTTTCGTATGGCCAGTAACTGACCAAGGCCCGAGCTGAGAGGCCAAGGGCCAGCTCGGGGCCCTGCGGCGACAGCACCGCGCGCAACGGACGCGGGGAAAGTCTTCTAATCCGGCAGGGACCGGGAGCTCAGTCTACGATTCCGGCCCACAGTTCTAGGCGCCGGCCTGGCTCCGCCCCTGCGTGCCAGTCCCGCCCCTTTGTGTAGAGTTTGCAGCCTCCGATTGGTCGCTGCGCCTTTTCTCTTTCCTTGGTGGGCCACAACCTACTGGGCCCCACCGAAGGCCAGCCGGGCTGTGGTACCGGAGGTTGGGCCGGGAGGCCTGGGATAGGCCGGGGCGGAAGGCATGGGAGAAGTCGGGGTGGGCGGCTCGGGAAGCCTAGGGCCAGGCCCAGAGGTGGCAGCAGCAAAGCTGCTGCCCTTCCTGGCACCGGGAACGCGCGTGGACCTGCAGACGGCAGCGGTGCGGCACGTGCTGGCGCTGACTGGCTCCGGGCCGGGCCGAGAACTGCTGGCGGGGCAGGCGGCGCTGCTGCGGGCACTGGCAGAGCTGGCCGCGGCACCAGCCCCCGCCCCGGCCCGCGACGCAGCTCGCGCGCTGGTGAACTTGGCCGCCGACCCCAGCCTGCACGAACCACTGCTGGCGGCTGACCCCGGGCTGCCTGCCCGTCTGCTGGGCCGCGTGTTGGACCCGCAGTGGCCCTGGGCCGAGGAGGCGGCCGCATCGCTGTCCAACCTGAGCCGCGAGCCAGCGCCGTGTGCCGCGCTGATGGCAGCGTTGGCGGCGGCGGAGGAGCCGGGGGTCTCAGGCCTAGAGAGGCTGGTGCGCGCGCTGTGCACGCCTGGCTACAACCCCCGCGCGCCCTTGCACTACTTGGGGCCACTGCTGTCCAACCTCAGCCAGCGGCCTGCGGCTCGTGCCTTCCTGCTGGACCCGGACAGGTGAAGTCTGGGGCAGCGCACGGGTGTGCAGGAGAGCGTGGAGGTGAGCAGGGGCAGCACTGACTGATCCTTTTCAACAGGTGCGTGGTCCAGCGGCTGCTGCCCCTTACCCAACACCCAGACTCTTCTGTGCGCAGAGGTGGGGTGGTGGGGACGCTGCGGAATTGCTGCTTTGAGCACCGTAAGTGATGGTGCGGAGGGGGCGGCGATAGTGGGGTGGGAACGCGACTGGCTCCTCTTGACCATCCCCCATTCTTGGCCACTCTTGCTCCCCAGGACACCACCAGTGGTTGCTTGGACCTGAGGTAGACATTCTCCCTTTCTTGCTGCTGCCCCTGGCTGGGCCTGAGGATTTTTCAGAGGAAGAGATGGAACGTGAGTGGCCAACGTGGAGCCTTAGGGTTGGATGCACAGGGGAGGAGGAGGTGATGTCTGGACCCCGGACCTCTTTTGAAACCTTCCAGCAGGGAGTTACTGAGCACAAATGGGGCCTGCACAGCCCAGGGCCCCAGTGATTATCTCGCTTGCCCTAGGACTGCCTGTTGACTTGCAGTACCTGCCTCCAGACAAGCAGCGAGAGCCCAATGCCGACATCCGCAAGATGCTCATTGAAGCCATCATGCTGGTGAGCAGGAGTCCTGCTACGTTAATGCCACCACCTGACACATCCACATACCCACGATATCTGGTTGACCTCTTCCATCTCCCCAGCTGACAGCCACAGCACCAGGGCGGCAGCAGGTACGAGACAAGGGAGCCTACCTGATCCTCAGAGAGCTGCACAACTGGGAACCAGAGCCTGATGTGCGAGCAGCTTGTGAGAAGCTCATCCAGGTGGGTGTAGGGTTGGAGAGGCTGGGAAGAGGTGCTGGTAGCCTGTCGGTCATTCACCTGCTTCCCTTGTCAGCAGGTGCTTATCGGGGATGAGCCTGAGCGTGGCATGGAAAACTTGCTGGAGGTGCAGGTGCCTGAGGATGTGGAGCAGCAGCTACAGCAGTTGGACCGCCAGGAGCAGGAACAGCTAGAGCAAGAATGCCAGGAGCTGGCCCCAGAGCCATGGGGTGAGAGGGCTGCACCCACCTGAGACCTCTGCAGCCCAGTGCCATCTTCAGGCTTCTCAGACCCAGGTTCCCTACAGGGCCTCAGATTTTGCCCTGTTAAGAGGAAGAGTTACACTTGGGCTCCTGTCTGTGCTAAGGGTTCTAGGGCAAATGCCTGATCAACTCTGGAGGGTTGACAGCACCTCCAACCCTGTGCCATGTTGCTGTTAGCTAGAGCACAGGCCGTGGCTCAGCTGCCTTGATGGGAGGAAAGAGCAGGTGATGGCTAGTGGGGCTTGGGAAGCCAGCTAGAGCCCCATTCCGGAGGGCATTGCAGAGCCTGCATGTAGGTGGATGCCTTCGTGCAAGCACTGCCCTCAGCTCCCCCTGCCTTAGACCTGGCCTCAGAGGGCTGACCCAGCCATACCTGGGTCCTGGGGTCTGCATAGGACTGCCTTCTGTGTCCCTGTCTTGGCTTACATTGATTCTTTCCTCAGCCCCTCTGGCTGGGTGAACTCCCTGGGCAGCTTCCTTGAGCTTTATACTGTTCCTGCCTACCTCTGCACAGAGCCTCTCAGATGTACTTCCAGTCTGGCCTCTGGCCAGGCTCTGCCCAGTGAAGCCCACTGTGGGGTCTGGAGTCTGTGTGCTTCCCCTGTTCTATAGCTGCAAGGCCCATGCGTGGTCATGGTAGCTCCCGCCCACTGTGTTCTCTTTCTGAGCCACCCATCAGACCTCACCTGTCCTCTTTTGCATTGGGCTCCTGAGTGCTGCCCTGCTCTTGCCAGCAGGCCCTTCAGAACCCCAGTGAAGGCACCTTAGCTTATTTTCCTGCACTCCACTCTACACCCCTGCGAACTGGTGGCCTTTCCCACCTGTATTCTGTTGTGCCTGGGTGATTCATGGGGTACCTGGCCTCTCCCCTGATACCCTCTGACCTGCCCCATTAAAGCTATGGTTCTCAAGGTAGGTGTGACATGCAGATTGGCATTTCCCCTTCATCAAGAGCCCCATGAGGTAGTGGTAGAGCCTCAGGCTGGCAAGGCCTCTGGAGACCACCTGCCCTCTCCTGGCACTAAGCCATCATAGCCTGGGTACTGTAAAATAGGTGCTTTATTTGGTCTTGCCCCACCACCATTCTCAGTTGACCAGGGATGGCCCAGGCATATTCCTGATGGCAGACCTAGGGTGCTCTGGGGCCCCAGCCTAACAGACCTATACCTCTACAAGTGTGGGTCTGCATATTGGGATAGAAATGATCTCCTAGGGGATACCACATGGAGAACAAGACGGGGCTGGCCCGGGCTCCAGTGGGCCTTGTGTACTTGGGTGAGCCAAGTGGCACCCCCACCTGTGCAAAATGCCTGTTCTATGGCAGCAGGCCACCATACTGACCAGTGTCCAAAACAGCCTGTGAGCCTCCTCTAACCCTGGGCACCAGTGGTGGTCTGGTACAGTATTGGTATGTTACAGCAGACTGCCACTAGGTAAGGGCAGGCACTGGCTGCTATGATAGGCCTCATACAGCTGCACCTGCTAGCCCACCCCTGTCACCCTGAGTAGGGGCCAAGGGTGTGCTGGGGCCTTGGGTTGGGGTTAGGCCCCAGCCTAGAGGCCGAAAGAAGGTCCCAGGCAGGTGAGGGCTGGCCTTGGGGGATGGAGAGGATGGAGACAGGTTATGTTGAGGCCACAGCCCTCACCATGTTTAGTTGCTTGTAAGGAGAGAAATCTCCCAGGGCAGGAACTTGCAGAACTCCACAGGGGCTTTGGCTGTGGAGCCTATCTTGAAAGCCACCTGTGAGGGTGGAGGGTGCCACTGTGTAGCCCCCACCCTGTCCTGAGAACTCAAGGGGTTTGGGAACAGGATCTGCGACCAGGGAAGAAGCCCACAGTGGAGGCAGCTGGCATAGCTGGAAGGTGCCTGAGTGGGCTTAGGACTGGAAGGCCCCTGCTACGTCTGGGCAGTGGGTGCTGGATCCCACTAGGTGGGGGGAAAGGAAGCAGGTTTGCCTCACCATGGTGTGGTGCTCACCCAGCAAGTCAGAAGACAGCTTTGGGGCTGGGCGCCTGTGGATCAAGCGGCTAAGGCGCCAGCCACATACACCTAAGGTGG